CGAAACGTTTCATTAAAGAAGAACCCGTCCAGAGGACCTATACATTTTTTTTCTTTTTGATTTTTTACCTGGATTACTGAGATGCATCAGGACATAACATCAGGACATTTTGACATTCTGTAAAAGTACAAATACAAAGAAAAAACAAACAAACATACAAAACAAAAACAACAAACAGAGAACAATTTTCTTTTCTCTTGATCCAGTTGATTTATCAGCTGATTTTATTAATGTGAACAAAACTTTCATTACAGCTTCATCTGTGTTTCCTCTCCGTTTGACTCATAAAGAAGTGACTGACGAGGCAGTGGCTCTAGTGCAAATCCTCCGAGCTTCTCCAGACTCTGTAGCTCAGGAAGCTGCTTCCTGAGTAGCACAGGGTGGTCAGAGAGGCAAAAAACTGAGGAGGCCAAGCAAATGAGAAACAAATATATATTTAGTGGATTATTTTATTTTACTGTAATTTTATAGAAGCATCATTTGTTGTTTAAAAAAAGTCAAAGCCTCACTGATTTTTTTTAACTCTAAGCATTAAGAATAAAATAAAGCTTACTGAATAAACTGTTTCTCTCTGATTATTGAGATCTGAGATGACTGGGATCTTTTATGGTCCATTGTATTTTTGCACCTTTTTTTTAACTTTCCCAGTTTGATTAAATAAAGTTGAATTCTGATCAAACTGACAAGCTAACAGCTAGCTCTCGTGGGATTAAGATCAACCTCCAAAATATGATGTGCATAGATTATATTATATCATAGATGCAGTCAGATAAAAATAATTCATTCTGTGGAAGACAGACTCATAGAGTTAAATATGAGGACACACTGTTTTTCTTTTTGAGAATTTTGATTTCAGAATAAAATTCTCATGTTTTGTTTGTATCATATTGTATTATGTGTATGTTATTCATAACTATAAATGGTCAATTTTGACAGCATTTGTCTATGAATGACCTATTTACCTATCTACTAATACAGATTTCAACTAAATGCAATCTGTCTTTGGTGAATTATTTTGAAAACATGACTGTTCTGCTTGTTTCTTTTCCTGTTGGTGCGGTGTGATCTTTGTAGATTAACTCTGCACTTGCTCCAACATCTGGCAAAAATAAAACCGAGTCAAATTTTAGCAGATGGCTGCCACCCTTTGTTGCCCTGCGGAGGTAGAGTAAATTCTCTCCTTGACCATAATGGGTGCGTTTTTACAACAGAGATCACGTCGCAGTGAAGCAGAGCAGTGTAAATTGGCATAATGTTATTTTTAAGCTATAGCTTAAATAACAGCTACAACTTTATCCATTCCCAACATAAAACGATCATAGTTTAAAACTTGGGCATAAGGAGGTGATATGAATCCCTTTAAAGCAAGATCAGTCTTTACGGTTATTCAAATACTGAATTGACAGAGGTGATTTGAAATTTGCATGTGATAATGAAATTGGAAATGCTTTAAAATAACAATCTCCTCTCATTTTGCCTCTGCTCAGTTTAGTTGTTGTCTCATCAATCCATTCAGATTCATCTACAACAGGTAAGACATGAACTGCTTCATCCTTTCCAAAGAATTTCACCTAAAATAAGTCTGAACTTTCCCTGCATTTCTGGAGGTCTACACTGTCTGGTAGATAAGATGCCATCCAACTGATATACTATGTACTGCTTATATGTGAATAGCGAAAGTTTGTTTTCAGGATGCACAAACGAGTAAAAAGTGATCAAGCTTATTTTCTGGACTGATAAAACCTGACAAAGTTATGGATGTGCAGAAAATAAAGCAGTCTTCTCTGAAGTAGTTTAATGAACGCTTTGACACACTTGTGCCATGGAAATGGTTGAAACGCTTACAGCTGATGCTGCCCAACAGTTGTAGTTGTGTCGCCCTCTGACAGCCCAGTTAACAGTGAGCGCATCGACCACGGCTGTCAGCAGGTACAACAAAGCAGCGCTGCAGTTAAAACACAGAGACTGGAAGAGAGGAAAACACATCTGAGAGGCCAAAGGAGCTAGGAAAACTCTTTCAACTCTCAAAGTTACAAAAATGAATTTAACTAAAGCAATTCAATATAAAGTCTTTGTGTTGTGTGTGTTTTTGTGTGGATGTGTGTTACCAGTAAAGTCCAGGGGATGTGTGTTATCCTGTTGTGGGCTCCGGTGAGAAAAATGATAAACAGGCACACTGTGAAAATCCAGACCAGGATGGAAACAAACATGACCCAGCAGAGAGCAGACAGACGGAAATAATCGGTACCCCCAACCAGAATCCACACCATCATACCACACACCTGAAGAGGGGCGAGGACAGGAAACAAAAAATATTAAACTACTTTAAAAATAACATTTCATTCAGGAAATTATCTTTAATCAGACGTTCAAATGTTTTGCACCCGGCTCAGTCCAGCCTCCAAACCCCACCCTTCCTCCTCACAACAAAAGATTCCTGGATTATTCTGTTTTTTGACGTTAACAGTGAATGTAACCCCGGCTGCTTTTCTGTTCAACTGGAAAAAAATATTTCAAATTAAAAGCTTTCATTTTTAAACTACCTAAATAGAAATATTTGAGGAAAAAAAACGTCAAAGTCATTTGATAGATGCTAAACTTTTCATTTCAATGTAGTGGTTTTTAAAGTTGTCGTATTGTTCAAATGTGGGTATTAATCATGTGTGCACAGAACATGTATAAGTTTTGCTTTTTGAACAACTTTGGGTCAGATTATATTATTCTCAGCCTGCTCAGTCGGTGCATGGCAGCCAGCCAGACTGGATTACAAGAAAGGCTGTCCTCGAGTTTTTCCTTCAGCTGATTTGCAAAGGAAGAGAGACAATGAGGCAAAGAAAAGAGGAAGACTTGATTTACTTGGTGTTTTTGGTTGACTTCCTTTTTCATGTAAACTCTGACTGGAACAAAGTTAGATTATAAATCTGTCTTTTACAGGGATTTTTTTCCCTTCAAGCAAATTCTTAAGAAAATACATGAAGTTGTCTTATTTATTTCATGTTTTTCTCAGTGAACTCATTATGCAGTCCGCAGCTCTATCCAAACTTTTTTTTAACTTTCACAGCAACTTTTAGAAATATCAGAATGTCTGTAAGATTTGCCGAAAGTTTTTTGCCTTTATCTTCACTTTAATTTCTTTCCTTTCAAACACAAAAATACAGTTTAGAAACCAAAAGTTCCACTTACAATTTCAGCCAGGTGAAGCTTTCCTGCGGCCGTCGTGGTGAAATGCTGGTTGAAGGCCAAGGTGGAGGTGGAGGTGTTGGGCGGCGGCAGCTGGGGTCCTCTGCAGGTCGGCACCACGGTTGTCCTGTCCATGATGCACTGACAAACAAAGCCCGTGTGGATGGACTGAGGCTGCCGCCGCAGCTCAGGAAGTTGTCTTCCTGTCCTGGAATCCAGCAGAGACACCCATCTCTGGGACAACAACACAAACCCACTCCGGCCAAACTTATCTGGTTTCTTTTTAAAAGTCAGCGTCTTAAATCAATTTGAACTTGAAGTTTTTTAAAGTTTACCATGATGGACAGATTTCTTCCTCAGTCAGCTTTTAGGTGATTCTAAATTAAACACATTATGTGACAATTACAGCAATAGAGACAGAGATATTTCCCTCTTTGGTATTTGTAGTTTGAGATGAGTATAAAAATATGAAAAAGGACACAGGAGTCCTAAAAATCATTTTTGCAACAAGTTTAATTTTACTTGAATTCATCTAGAGCAGTGGTTCCCAAACTTTTTATCTTCTGACCCACAAAATATTCATTGCTAAAACTTGTGACCCCAAATATTACTGGTC